ACTCCCATGCTGGCTCAGGAATTCTGGGAGTTGAAATCCACGAGTCATAAAAGAGCCAAGGTTGGCTACCCCTGGTATAGTGTAACATTAGCCGCCTCCTCCTCGGTAAGAGCATCCAGTATTGAATAACAGAGTTGGAAGAGACCTTAGAGATCTTCTAGTCCAGGGGTGTCAAACTGGTGACCCGTGGGCCGGATGTGTCACGTGCAGGCCACGTGCACCCCAGCTCCACAAAGGTAAAAAAAATGTCACGATACGTCACAATACGTATCATGTGACACGATCGAGTTTGACACCCGTGTTCTAGTCCAACCCTCTGCTCAAGCAGGAGACCCTATATGGTTTCAGACAAATGGTTGTCCAATTTCTTCTTAAAAACCTTCAATGCTGGAGCACCAGTAACTTGTGATGGCAAATTATTCCACTGATCAATTGTTCTCACTGTCTCCTTAGTTCTAGCTTTGTTCTCTCCTTGATGAGCAGGAATTTTGTCCTGATCATCTATAGGGGAGTCCTCGAATTACAATCATTCATTCAGCAACTGGTCAAAGTTATGATGGCACTGAACGGAGGGACTGCCAATGGTCCTCAAACTTCCAGCCGGTGCAGCGCCCACATTGCCCAGATCCTTCATAACCTAGGATCACAGATACTGCCACATTGGTTCTTTATTCCCTTTTTCAGTGCCCAAGCACACACTTACAACTTTGAAGGGGAATCATAGATACACATTTTAATTGAAATAACAGAGGGTTCCAAACATATTTCATTGATAACTATTAGATACCTGGCTTACCGCTGGCTTTTGTACTATCTTAGCACATCCTGGCATGGAGAAACCAAGGATTTGTATTGGTGAACCCCCGAAAACACCATGAATTTCTAACTCAACCTTGTTCCCTCATGCTTCCCCTTTCACTAATGAACACCACTATCTAAGCATTCTTCTTATGTCCTCCACGGAAGGCTTATTCCCCCAAACCCACCCACCAAACCATATGGTTATATATGCCCTCCTTCTAGATAAACCCTTTTATTCATGCCAACATTCCCTTAAAAGAACCTTTACCTGTCACAGTTGCCATGAAGAGAAACTTAGAATTCCATCAAGGCTTCATCACACAAATGGAAAACGTGAGCAAAATCCCCAGGAAGATAGAGGCTGCCATCTTGGATCTCAATTTGGGTGGACCCTTGTACTGAGAGTCATGGAAAACAGAACATCTGTATCTGAAAGGGGGTGATTAGGCAAAGAAAACCCCACTGAATCCCACTAGCCCTCCTTCAGTATAGATTAATCCTGCTAAATGTATTAGGACTCCATCTTTCCTCATCCATTTGTGTTTCTGTGATTGCAAGACACATTCCGAAAAGTGGTCTGTGTGGAAGGCTATTTCAACATCTCAGTTAACACTCAGCCAGAAATAAACCCTCATCTCACATTTGATTTGAATGTGGTTAGATCCTTAAAACGCATTAAATACAGAAAGTTGGGACCCAAAACTCTATTGAATGTTTTGTATTAATAAATTCATTTCACTCTAACAAAAGACACTTTCCATTAAATACTTCCTGCAAGAAAAGTTTCCTCACTTTGTAAGACAGGTGGTTCTGCTGCTGAGCATTTCCTACTGTTAGGAAGTTTATCTAATGTTTAATTGACATCCACTCATTTAGTTTTCATCCTGCCCTCAAAACTATGAAATAAAGAGTTGCCCTACAGTCTATGGGACAGCTTTTTAGGTATCCGACAACTGCTATTTTATATTGTCTCCATTCCTGCTTTGAAGAAACCCTGACCATGATGAAGACGCAGTAAAAAAAAAATAAAATCCAAAATTCTCCACTAAATTTTATGACTTATAACTGCCATCTTCAAGGATAGGTAGGGTCTATCCCAGTGGTGGCGAACCTATGGCACACGTGCCAGAGGCAGCACTCGGAGCCCTCTCTGTGGGCACACGTGCCGTTGCCCCAGCCTCGCCTCCCCCCACGACCCCACCAGCAGCCTCCCTGGAGGAGAGTCGCCCCCGAGCATGGCACACAAGGAGCAGCGCAGCCAAGGACATGGCAGCCAGGCACCGTAGACAAGACTCTGCCCTCATGCCCCATCCCGCACAGTTGATGCTACGGGGGGCGGGCAGAAGGCATGGCCATGGTGCTGCTGGGCTGCCTGGGCGATCTGCAGTGGGTCCTGGAGGCGGTGAGTGGCCCTGTGAGCAGGTGGGGTGGGGGACGGGGTGGGGGCGGAGCAGGGGCGGGGCAGGGGGTGGAGCAGGGGCGGAGCCAGTTTTGGGGCACTCGGTCTCTAAAAGATTCGCCATCACTGGTCTATCCAATAAGGTTTCTATTTCTAACTTGATTGAAATCATGGGACATTAGATGCTTTTGTTTAAGTGCCTGTAAAGCTTTGAACTAAGAATTCAACATCTTGACCAGTGTTTCTCTACCTTAGCAATGTGAGGATAAGTGGACTTCAACTTCCAGAATTCTCCAGCCAGCATGGAGAATACTGGGAGTTAAAGTCCACATATCTTCATGTTGCCAAGGATGAGAAACATTGCTCTTGACAATTATACTCCAAGTTAAATATGTAAACTCTATGTCTATATTTAACATCTCTCAAAATCTCAGGTGCTATAAGATGGAGAAATGGTTCTAAAATGGATACTGAATTCTGTGAATGTTTCTTTCTGCCCCAAAGACATTGTAAGCTCAGTAGGCTTCAGAAAATACTTTGATAGTGATGGGCAATATCCTTGAACTCACCTTCTAAGAATTGTCTAATTTACCATGTCTGTATTTGGAGAATATTTCCACTGCCTGGTATATGACCTACTCTCGTGTATGACAGAATGAGAAATATAGCCACATTACATTCTCCAAAATGCTTGCAACAACTTTCTATTTTACATCCATCCTCTTCTCCGTTCACTTTCAAGCACTTTGATATTTACAGATTTCCAATTTAGTTTGGAATGAAAAAAAATCTCTTTCTAAAGCAGTGTTTCTCAAACTTGACAAGATGCTTAGATTTTGACTTCTGAGTGAGGAATGGTGAGCTAATACATCTCCGAGCAAGTGGAGATGACATTGCAGCTATGATCAGTGAGTAGACTGGTCTCACAGAACCTCTCTGGACATGGAGAGGACAGGAGATTGTTCACTTATTCTCCAGATGGCTCCTCCTGCTGAGAAAACTGCAGGATAACAAGGTTGACTCAGCCTTCCATCCTTCCAAGGTCGGTAAAATGACTCTGTAAACAGCTTAAGAGAGTGCTGTAAAACACTATGAAATGGTATTATAAGTCTAAGTGCTTTTGCTATAGCAGTTTCCTCCAAGATTGAGCACAGGAGACAGGCTTTGGTCAGCACTAAGACAAATGGTAGAAAATTGCATTTGAATTACTCCAGGAGATATGGGATATGGATTATAAGACAGACATGTTAGTTTAAGTGAAAATATATGTCTTATTTTAATCTTGGTCAAAGAAACCATCCATGTACTTCTTTTGTTTTTAGCAATCTTGAATTCATTCATATGTTGTATAAATAAATACAAATGATATGCCAAAAGAATGTCCTTAATGGGTTTTACAAAAGAGGTTTGCTAAAGCTTAAAAGGAACTTTTGAGATGGGGAAAAAGAGAAACTGAAGAGAGAGCACACCCTACGACAACATCTGAATGAATTCAAGATTTGCAATAGTGGCAAATTCAAGATTGCTAGAAGCAGAGGACTACAAAGTTGGTTTGTTTGACCAAGGTTAAACTAAGACATTTTTCTATAAAATTCTTGGAACACTTTATGGACGGTTTGTTGCTACTAGGACTGAAATGTTAATAATTTATGGATTTGAGTATGGGTAAGGGATGGGCTATGGAAAGAAGAGCTACTTGCATGTACCTTATACTGTAAGGGGTGAAGAATTACTACGTTTGTACTTGTTGTGATGAAGAATCAAAAATCACTTTAACTATTTTCTCTTTTTCTTATTTTTTCCTCTTTCCTTTTTTTCTTCTTTTGCACTTCCTATTCTGTTTCTTTATTTTTCCTTTCCTTTCTGGATTTAGTTTGTATTGTCTTTTATTATTATTTTTTTTTAAAAATCAATATAGTTTTTTTTTAAAAAAAGAGATATATAATGGACTTCAACTCCCAGAATTCATGTGGGTTGAAGTCCATCTATCTTCCCTATCTATTCAAAGATGGGGAATTCTGGGAGTTGAAGTCCACCTATCTCAAATTCGCCAGGTTTGAGAAACACTGTTCCAAAGTATCACAGAAGATTCAAATTTTAGAGGTAGATTCTCCCACCCCTTCATAACACATTACCCCATCTTTAGTACTACAACCTCCCCACAGACTCCTGGGGAGGGGCAATTTGACCTCAGGCTTCCCAAGCAAGGGCTCACCAAAGGCCAGATTTGGAAGAATTGAAATCCAACCAATCTGAAAGGCATCAGGTTGGGAAAGGGTGGCTTATATCCAACTGGCGTTGCTCAGGAAGACACCCCAAATAAATCCAGACTGGATTGTTCCAGTCTCATCTTCTCACTCTTGCTATCATTACAATCACTAGTTATGAATAATCTATGATTATTTTAATACCACCCACATTTGTTCTTTTGTTTGTTTTAAGTCTTCTGGAAAACCAAGCCAAGAATTCTTCAGTAGTATCCATTCCTAGTGCAGTCAAAGACAGAATAATCCCAAAGGTGACTTGATCCAAATCTTCTCTGTTTAAAAATGTCTTCCATGTGAATCCTAGAGGTTTGGGCCATTCGGGAGACTGTCTACTTCACCAAAATTGTTAATATATATTCAAATCCTTTGAATTACTGTTGTACCAGGTAAAACATGTGATTTCACCTTGGTTTTCGGATATAATCATTACAAAGTCCTACCATCTGAAATTCAATGCTTGCTTGAAAAAAAAGTCGCAATTTTAATCATACTTTGGGGCCCAGGGTAGCAATGGCCAGAGGTAGGTGACGGGATTATTCCTTAAATCCCCGGTTGGCTTGCATCTTCTTATAATAATTTTCCGTCTCTTCGCCTTGCCCATCCTTTTCCCCCACTGTTAAGCTAGCTGGTTTTCTCCGCAGCGTGGATTCCCGGCTGGAGGCCCCCAGAAGGCTTTCTCCAGGGCTGGTTTCTGCTGAAACCAATGATGCACTCCCTCCCAGACCCACTGACACATTGATGGTGGCCACGCTGCCGTAACGGGCCTCCTCCTGTTCGATGTCGCTGACAGAGGAACCTGGCGAGACTCCAGCACTTTTGGCAGGCCGGAACCCATGGTAATCCTTGCTCATCTCATTGAGCTCGTAAGCATCTTGGCCATCCGAAGCTTTCTGGGTGGCCTTCCATTCCCAAGGCCCATTTCCAGAAGACAGATGTACGACTGGGTGGTGAGGGGCATGAGCATCGATGGTAACCACACTGGAGCTGTCTCTTTCTGATGGAGAGCAGTACTGGGAGGAGTCAGAGCTGGTGGAAGACGAAGATGTCTCCGAATGCTTGGGTGTCACCGATACCATCCCGGGTTGCTTGGACATGGCAATCACCTGCATGAGGCGTGGTGGGTTGGCCACCCGTTGGGCGGCCCCCTTCTCAGCCATCATCATCCACTTGGCCCTCACAGCCGAGCTGCTTTTGGGTGAAATATTAGCACCCGCATTAGCTTGACTTTCCTCAGGGATGTGGACCAGTTGAGTGGCCCTGGGTCTTGGCTGGATGAGGACACGAGGACCCATAGAGGCACGCTCAGCCGTTCGAGCCTGGACTGTGGGGTACAAGGAAGATGGGATATGATCCTCTTCTTCTCCAGCCAAGGAATCTGAGCCAACTCGCCTCGCCACCTCTTCTGCCAAGGTCATTCCACGGCCTTCCACTGATTTCTGTTTCCATTCAGTGATCAGCTGTTTAGATCGGGAGGCGTCCACTGGGACGTGGATGGTCATATGGCGGCGAGCAGGGTCATCCATTGAGGGGGTGCTGACCCGTGGTAATGTGTTACTGAAGGTCACCATGTTTTCTTTGCCCATAGGGCTCCGGGGTGCCAAAAGGTCCACGTCAACACTTGCCCGTTTCAAGCTCCCCAGCGAGTTCTTCTCACGTGGCACTTGCCGATTCATCCCTTCCAGCCGGGTCTGGGGGTTGAGCTCATCGGTGCTGACTGACTTGTTCTGGTGGTAAACGGAGTCATGCCCACGTTGAGTCAGGGCTCGGAGGGCATCCTTGGCAGGAGGGTTGGAGGGAGCCTTTTCTATTGGTGCCCGGAAGTTGCCCACTGCATGATAGGCCTGTGTGCAGCAAGGAGCATGGGGTAAAGATCTAAATAATTTCAGAGAAGCATGGAAATAGATCTCTATTTTTCATAAGTGGCAGAACCTGGGGGCGGTGTTAAAAGAGGGCTCAGCCTAGAATCCCTATGTAGCCACAGATGTTATAAGTCCCACCTCCCTTGAATTCCATTGACTTCTATCTATCTACAAGTAGGTGCTAACCATTGAGAAGATTCCTGTCCATAGGCTAGCAATATTAGCAATAAATTAGTTTAACTGCTCTTTCACGGGTGGACCTGGTCTTTTGAGCCTGACTTTCTTTTAATAATGTAGGGCAAAAGAAAGATTTAATGATACAGGTAGTTCTCTATTTACGACAGTCATTTAGTGACCTTTAAAGTTGCAAAAGATCCCAAAAATGCTACTTATGATATGATTTTAAAGTTTCAATGTCATTTCACTTTGGGCACTCAGCATTTATGACCATTTGCAGTGCCCTGCAGTCATGGGATCACAATTTACGACAGTCTTGCCAGAAACCAGTTGGGTTTTTGGCAAAAACTGGCCCATAGAAAGCAATGGGTTTGCTTAACAACTGCGGCATTCATTTAATGATCACTGTATTTGCTTAACAACTGCCATAAAGAAGATTATAATTGGATCTGGTCATGTGGTGACCTGTTTTACGACCATCACAACTTATAATAGCCTGGCTCAATTATGGATGAAACTCGAAGACTACATGTATTCCTACATACAAGTAGTCCTCAACTTACAGCCCCAATTGAGCCCAAAAGTTTTGTTGCTAAGCAAGACAGTTATTAAGTGAGTTTTGCCCCATTTTACAACCTTTCTTGCCACAGTTGTTAACTGAATCACTGCAGTTGTTAGTGACATCTTTATTAAGTGAATCTGGTTTCTCCATTGATTGCTTGCCAGAGAATCTCAAAAGGTGACCCCATGACCCCAGGAAAGAGCCACCGTCATAAATACATGCTGGCTGTCAAGCGCCTGAATTTTGATCACATGATCATGGGGATGCTGCAACAGTGGTTGTATCATGTTTCGCTGAAAATAAGACCGGGTCTTAATTTTTGCTCCAAAAGACACATTAGGGCTTATTTCCCAGTTAGGGCTTATATTCAGGGAAATACGGTACTAAACGTGTCCGTCTGGCTGACGATCTTAACTGGGGTTTATTTTTGGGGTGGGGCTTATATTACAAGTATCCTGAAAAACCATGCTAGGGCTTATTTTCCGGTTGGGTCTTATTTTCAGGGAAACCCGGTAGGCGTGAAAATGGTCATAAGTCACTTTTCCAGTGCCACTGTAACTTCAAACAGTCACTAAATGAATGGCTGTAAGTTGAGGACTACCTGTAACTTAAAATGGTCATGCTATAAAAAGCTGACCGGTCAATTGGAACTAGACTGTTTCTGTATGTACTCTTTTTCTCTCCACTTTGGAGAAGGTTCCATGCTTTTCAGAGCAACACAGCCTGAGAAAGGTTACCTGGCATGATGGATCTACCAGTTTTAGGAAACAGGAGCCCTTCTGCCCCCTGCCCCTTCTTCCCACGGCCCTTGGAAAGACAGACACTTACCAGGTAAGCAGCAATACCAGACCCAATCAAGAAGCCCACGTAAACATCAATTGGGTGGCTGCGGTACTGGGTGATCTGCGTCAAGCCACAGATGCCAGCTGCGATGGCGAAACCGAACACCAAGATTGGCTTGAGGAGCTTGGTGCTATCTGAGATTATGGAGTTGAAATACATCTGTGGATGATAATGGAGGCTGTCAGCTTTCCAGGGTAAACCGGACAGGAAACACGACTAGATGAGCTACTTCTACGTCGTTGTAAGGCAACCCGAACAGATTCTTGCAAGTCTGAAAGTACAAACTTCCCACCTGCCACTTTTAACTGCTAGACCGTTGAACAATTTGTGGGCTCCTGCCTTACTTGTCAGATTGTCCTTCTTTCTCTTAGGACCTCAGGGGTCTTTTAGCCATGCTGGCTCAGGAATTCTGGGAGTTAAAGTCCACGAATCATAAAAGAGCCAGGGTTGCCTACCCCTGCTAGGTCATCTAATTCTAGGCATTCCATTACAGAGAAATTGTATAGCAACCCAATCACTTATTATCTGGAACTTTTCGCTGGATTGCGATGGAGACAGTATAGCTTTGCTAAGTACAGCCCAATCGCACAGAGACGCTGAGCAACATATAAATATAATCAATTATGATCTTTTCAGAGCAACGTGAAGTCACAGCTACCAATACTTTAGCTGGTGTTGGCCTTCATTTGCATCACATTCTTCCCGAGAACCAAGGATGTGGCAGGATGGATGGATGGATGGATGGATGGATGGATGGATGGATGGATGGAAGGACAAACAAACAAACAAATAAATAAATAAATAAATAAATAAACAAACAAACTAAAGAACCTAGGCTGTTATAATGTATTGGCGTAGTATATGTGCAGATCCAACAGAGTGACTTTTGTAATTGATAGATGGAAGTTTTTGTCAATGCCCAGATCTAAGTATTATCTAAGGTTTTTTTGGTATGGTACGCAGTGTGTTGATAACTGCTGGTTTATACCATAATCTTTCACCTTTGATTTTACGATCTTCTCCAATTCTTTGTTTTCTATTCTACTGTCCCCTGGTTTTGCCACATCAATTATCCACACTTTCTTTTTTTCAACCACAGTTAAATCAAACTTTATAAGGTTGACTCAGCCTTCCATCCTTCCGAGGTCACTAAAATGAGGACCCAGATTTTGGGGGGGCTATATGCTGACTCTGTGAACCGCTTAGTTTAGAGAGGGCTGAAAAGCACTATGAAACGGTATACAAGTCCAAGTGCTATTGCTATTTGGAAATCCCATAAAAACCTGCTCATTTTTTACTACTTTTTCAACTATATGTTCCTACCGATTTTTCATTACTGGCACATAATAATTTTTACATTCCAATGAATCATTTTGGCAACACTGTTATCTAGTTGTTTGCGCTCAGTTTGTGCTATCTTCTTTTATGGGTTGAGTGTATGATCCACTGTTTCTTCTGCTTCTTTGCACAATCTGAACTTTGAATCATATTTTTCTGGTCTAGCCTTGACGCCATTAGTTTGAATAGCTTGCTCTTGAGCAATCAAAACCAAGCCTTCAGTTTCTTTCAGTTCCAGTTGTAAGCCATTCCCCGTTTACCTTTATCCACTTTCCTCTCAATAATCTCCTCCTCCTTTTCCTCCTGGGGGGGGGGGGGGGGGGGGATGGGCAGAGAGAGATAACTGAGAAACTGAGTTTCTGGGAATCGGATGGCACATAAAGTTCATAAATTATTATCATTCATCGCACTGTCGGCCAGACGTTTAGACTAGATTTAGCATTTTTAATTCACCTATAGAATCCTTCCCAAGGGTCCAGGATAGGCAGATGTCTGATGGTATGAAAAGTATCCTTGCAGAATGTAAGTTGTTCTGAATAAAACTGCCTTTTGCAATTGACTGAATGTGATTTTACCAGTGCCCATATTATTATTGTTAAAGTAACAGAAGAATGAAATTGACTATACCAGGATGAGTGTTGGATTAATTAGTGTTGATTATATGAAGACATTAACTAACAAAATATGGAATCTCTAATACTTTCTCTTTCAAAAAGACTTTTTTCAAATTGGCATCCTGCAGATTCCTGTTAAACCCCAACAGGTGAGTTTCAGCCCCTTCCCCCCCCACTCCCATTTTTGGTAATGGGAAACATAGTGGGATTCTCAGCTCTCAGCTCAAGACCAGGTTAGGACTATGCAAGTTTTTTGGGGGTGATTATGTCTATAGAGATTCTCAGTCATCCAGGTCATCATTGGCCCAAAGGGGCTTTTTCAAGAGGCAACTGGACTTCCTTTGTTTTTAATAATAATAATAATAGTAAAGTTGGAAGGGACCTTGGCGGTCATCTAGTCCAACCCCCTGCTCAGGCAGGAAACCCTATACCATTTCGGACAAATGGCTATCCAGTCTCTTCTTAAAAACTTCCAGTGTTGGCGCATTCACCGCTTCTGGAGGCAGGTTGTTCCACTGGTTAATTGTTCTAACTGTTAGGAAGTTTCTCCTTAGTTCTAGGTTGTTTCTCTCCTTGATTAGTTTCCACCTGTTGCTTCTTGTCCTGCCTTCAGGCTCTTTGGAAAATAGCTTGACTGCCTCTTCTTTGTGGCAGCCCCTGAGATATTGGAAGACTGCTATCATGTCCCCCCTCGTCCTTCTCTTCATTAAACTAGACATACGCAATTCCAGCAACCGTTCCTTATATGTTTTAGCCCTCCAGTCCCCTAATCATCTTTGTTGCTCTTCTCTGTACTCTTTCTAGAGTCTCAACATCTTTTTTACATCGTGGTGACCAAAACTGGATGCAGTATTCCAAGTGTGGCCTTACCAAGGCATTGTAAAGTGGTATTAACACTTCATGTGATCTTGATTCCTGGAAGACTTTTGCTTCTCATCCAAGAAGCTTCTTCAGTTCTGATTGAATGGTGGAGAATAGAAGGATTTATATTCCTTACAGTCATCTGGTCGTTAGCACTCTTTCTGAGAGCCATTCAGGCCACTCGGAGGTTTATCTGTGCCCTCAGGGTCACCTGAATAGTGATTTTGGGGTGATTTTTGTTTTGAGTGACATGCTGGGGGAGGGGCAGAAGGGAGGCATTCTGTTTGTCTGCAGTATCCAAGAAAAAATTAAATTTCATTTCATTAGGTTTAAATGTAATTACAGTTCATTGAAGTTAATATGATTATGCCCTAGTATGTCTTTAATAAGCTTCTCTTTCTGTTGCATTAAAAACATAATTGCATCTCAGCTATTGGAGGCTTTGTCGGTCTTAAATAGCACTTCTCTATTCTATGAGCCTGGCTGTTTCTGGTATTGACATTAACAAGTAAAACTCACGGATACGTAGACGGCAGCAAACGCAGACAGCGTGGCATGCTGAGAAGGGAACGTTTTCCTAGAAGGGAGAAAGAAATCATATATCCATGGTCCATCTACAGTCAGGAGACCTTAATTTCCCAACACACTGACAAGTTCAACCAGAACCGCACTTAGGAAGCACTTAGGCATTTTTAAAAAAAACTTTCGGCTCTCCAGACCCCTTCCCAATTTTAAAAATTATGGTGGACTCTAAAAAAGCTTTTGTTGGTATGGGATACATTTAGTGATATTTAGCGCATTAAAAATAAAACTGACACATTCATAGAATAGATCAGGGGTGTCAAACTCAATGTCACTGAGGGCCACATCATCATTGTGGTTGCCCTTGGGGGGCCGGGTGGGTGTGGCCAGAGTGGGTACAGCCTACTAGGTGGGCGTGGATGGAGTGGGTGTGGCCTACTGGGTGGGCATGGCCAGTTCTACATCATTTGCATCAAGGGTGCCTGTGGGGGCCTGGGCAGGAGTGGGATAGATCTGAGGGTCTCTGGCAGAAGGGGGTGGGACCAGGGCAAGTACCAAGGCATGGTCCACCGGGGCAAGTGCCAAAATCGTACATTGGCTCCCGGCTGGCCTGTGCCAGGGCCAAGGCAGAGGGGGCCGTTCCCTCACTGTTTCCAGGATGGCTTCACGGACCACATGAAACCACTTCGCGGGCTGCATCCGGCCCCAGGCCTTGTGTTTGACATGTCTGGAATAGATACTGAATCATGTAAAAAATAGCAATATTAAACCCATTCAGTTAATTCTTCAGTTATCACAGCAATTAGGACTGGAATCGTCCCTAAGTGATGCAATCCTAAAGCACAATGTCATGTGACTGCATTGCTTAGTGACAGAAATTCAGGCAGTTCCTGTTGTTGTCATAACCCCAAGACATGCGGGTCATTAAGTGAGAAGTTAAAAGTAATGGGGAAAACAGGTACAATCTACCTATATGTCTGACTTTATAAGTACAGCAGAATGAGACAATAAATCTATAGGTAGCAAAACAGATTATTATTGGTGCTCAGTCATAATAATAGTTAACCAACTATGCAAGCAGAAACTAGCATGCAAGTAGTCCTCAACTTACAATAGTTCGCTTGGTGACTGTTCAAAGTTACAAAGACATTGAAAAAAGTGACTTATGACTGTTTTCAGCATCCCCGTGAACATGTGATCAAAATTCAGATGCTTGGCAACTGGTTCATATTTATGAAAACTGCAGTGTCCCAGGGTCATGTGATCCCCTTTTGCAACGTTCTGACAAGCGATGTCTATGAGGAAGCCAGATTCACTTAATAACCGGGTTACTCATTTATCAACTGCAGTGATTCACTTAACAACTGAGGCAAAAAAGTTGTAAAATGGGGCAAAACTCACTTAACAAATGTCTCACTTAACAACAGAAATTTTGGGCTCAACTGTGATGATAAGTTGAGGACTACCTGTATAAGGGACTATGTACTAGTTTCCTGCTGCAAAAATGTTCATTTAGGAAAGAGATCCTAACTATGAGCATTAACATCTATTTTCACTATCTCAGTACCTCTTATCTCTTGCATGTTGGCTAAAGCTGGTTTTATATATAATTCTAACAATAAATTTGCAAATAACTGTCAGATACTCCCAAAAATTTGATGCAAACTTTCTAAGAAACTGTGGTTGACAATATTGTTGTGATAGCAACTGATTAACTGAGATAAGCTTGAACGAATGATTTATTTATTCAAATCAAATCAGTTTATTACAGGCATATGGCCAGAAACAGTAAAATATCCAATTGTAGGCTACTTACATACATACATATATAAAAATGCACTGAGTATGATCTAATGATGAGTAAGAACACATATAATAAAACAAATTTAAAAAGGATTATTAAAAAGATCTAAAACTATTTATCTTATTTATGTTTGATTTGATTTGATTCATATTTATTTAATAATAATAATAGTAGTAAAGTTGGAAGGGACCTTGAAGGTCATCTAGTCCAACCCCCTGCTCAGGCAGGAAACCCTATACCATTAGCCTGTTTACCGACAGGTCAGAGAAGAAATTTTGAAGGTCACAACCTCGTAAGTGGCGAAGACCTCCGTCCAACAAGGTGACCAATTAACAAGAGTGACAGTCCTTCAAAGAGGAATCAAGATCTATGCTTCTCTCCTTGATTAGTTTCCACCCGTTGCTTCTTGTCCTGCCTCCAGGCGCTTTGGAAAATAGCTTGATTCCCTCTTCTTTATGGCAGCCCCTAAGATATTGGAACACTGCTATCATGTCCCCCCTCGCCCTTCTCTTCATTAAACTAGACATACCCAATTCCTGCAGCCGTTCCTTATATGCTTTAGCCTCCAGTCCCCTAATCATCTTTGTTGCTCTTCTCTGTACTCTTTCTAGAGTCTCAACATCTGTTTTACATCGCGGTGACCAAAACTGGATGCAGTATTCCAAGTGTGGCCTTACCAAGGCATTGTAAAGTGGTATTAACACTTCACGTGATCTTGATTCTATCCCTCTGTTAATGCAGCCTAGCACTGTGTTGGCCTTTTTGGCAGCTGCAGCACACTGCTGGCTGATATTTAGGTGATTGTCCACTAGGACTCCGAGGTCCCTCTCACAGTTACTACTATTGAGCAAGATGCCACCTATGCTGTACTTGCGCATATGCCGCCCATCTTGTTATCCAGAGTCATTCTGGGCGGCACATAAATGGAAGTTATAAAAACAATTATAAATATAGGAACAAAAATATTTTTTCATTAGAAATAACCAGACTGCACAGGACGGCAAAATCTGGTTTCCAGAGCAGATGTAAAAGAAAGGGAGGTGGGCTCACCTGGCTGAGAGAATAGCATGCTGGTCTTGACCTGAGCAGATATCTTGAGTGATGTAAGGGTTGAATTCACAGGAGATAGCCAAGAGAGTGTAGTTGGGCTTACAGACGGTCAAGAAGAAAGGGGCGTGGTATCCTGTGGCTAATTGGATGACATCGGTCACCAGGGCTGTGGCACAGAGGCCAAACACATGGACACCTGAAGGGGGAGCAAATTCAGTTAAGGTTAAGTAAGGTGACCAACTTTTTACAATGAGAAGGAGGACACAAATAAATTGAAGAAAAAAAGTGAGTCTAATGCGTGCGTGTGTGCCGTGTCGTGTTTCGGTAAGAAGTAAACAAAGCCACTTGCGTGCGGCGCACTCTTGCGCGCGGCGCACTCTCTCAAAACAATTCTCCTGTGCGGAGTGCATGCGTCTCATAATCGCGTCTCGCTGCACTGTACCGAGCCTTGACAAATCGTCATGTCAAATACAAATACGTCACATCACACGCAACGGATCGGATCGGCATCGATCGACTACGGAGATTTACAGATTAGTCTTCAAATATCGAAAAGGAGGACATGTAGGAGGACGCTTTTCGAGAGAGGACAGAACTTACAAAAGAAGGACCGTCCTCCCTAAAGGAGGACGATTGGTCACCTTAGGTTAAGGCCTAGGAGACACTAGTGGAATGGATGAAAGGACAAGAGTAAGGGGTGGGGTCCTTGGTGTACATACTGTGCAAAAGAAACGTTCAACAAGCCAAAAAAAGGGAACAAAGTAACCAGAACACTTCCCCACCAGCAATTAGGAAGGGTGGAAATAAGCTTACCCACAAACCGGACCGTCCTGCGGAGAAAGGAGTTGAAATTGCAGCCACCAGCATTTATGCTGCCTTCAGTATTGCTACGGCCCTTCATCTTTGACTGCAAGCAATACACGATGCCTTCGCCCACCATGATCTGCCAAGCAAAGCAGCAGCATCAGACCGCCAGCTCCTTTCTCCCATCTGCCTGTCCCGAACTCACACTCCCCCCCCCTCTCTCTCGATGGACTTTTAACTCCCAGAATTTCCCAGCCAGCATGAGAAATTAGATGGGCCCATGGATGCTCTCAATCACATGTTGCCTTTTTGATCTGAACTGCTGCACAACCCTCGTTTCTGAACTTCAGGATCTGTCTGGAGGCTCCTCCTGGTGGACCAAATGGATTTTTGAACCAGCAATCCAACTCAGGGGACCAAAATAAATGGAAAAACTAAGCAGAGGACACTTGCTTTCGAGCCCATCTGGTGAGCATTTGCTGGTCACCGTTGGAAATGGTGGAATTAATGGGGTTTGGGAATTGATCCAGCAGAATCCCGTATGTCACCTTCCTCCAGCCAGCTTTCGACCAGATGCCTTGGGTCTTTAACTCCCAGATGGTGACTAGGAATTGTGGTCCCAAACCATGTGGAAGGACCCTGTTGGAGAAGGTTGCCGTGTTCCTGAAGGAGCTATATAGGAATAATAGACAGCTGTTAATGACTCAGGTGGTCTTCTTCAGGGTGAGAAAGTGGGACTTTGATCACATAGGTTCAATGTCATCTTGAATCCCTTTCCTCCACTGTGAACTGTCCATTGGGATATTAGTTTTCCAGTGAGCAAATATAATGAAAAGTCTGAATTGAGAACCAATGTAGGATACTGGTTAAGTTGCTGGACGAATGTTTCTCAACCTTGACAAAGTTATGTTGGGTGCACTTCAACTCCAGAATTCTCCAGTCAACATGCTTGCTGGAGAATTCCAGGAGTTCAAGTTTGCACATCTTAAAGGTGCCAAGGCTGAGCAACCCTCTACTAGATTAAAAACCAAGGAACTCTGAGTTCTACTACTCCCTGAGACATGGAAGCCAGCTGGGGGCCTTTAGACTAGTCCCTCCCTCTCAACCTGACCCACATTGCATGGTTGTTGTTGTGCAACAAACAGGAGAGAGCATTATGTGCACTACCTTGAGTTGCACGAGATAAAGGCAGGTTATAAATCCAATGCGTAAAAGAGGAGGAGAGGAATGTACCATGGTCCAAGAACCAGTTTGGTGTAGTAGCTAAGGTGCTGGCCTAAAAACCAGGAGGCTGTGAGTTCTAGTCCTGCCTTAGGTGTGAAAACAGACTGGGTGACTTTGGGCCAATCACCAGGAGACTGTGAGTTCTAGTCCTGCCTTAGGTATGAAAACCGACTGGGTGACTTTGGGCCAATCACCAGGAGACTGTGAGTTCTAGTCCTGCCTTAGGTGTGAAAACAGACTGGGTGACTTTGGGCCAATCACCAGGAGACTGTGAGTTCTAGTCCTGCCTTAGGTGTGAAAACAGACTGGGTGACTTTGGGCCAATCGCCAGGAGACTGTGAGATCTATTCCCACTTTAGGCATGAAAGCTGGCTGGGTGACTTTGGGCCAGTCCCTCTCTCTCAGCCCAACCCACCTCACAGGGTTGTTGTTGCGGGGAAATAGGACAAGGACATATTACACATTTTCACCACCTTGAGTTATTTATAAAAGATAATAAAGGCAGGACATAAACAAACAAACGAACAAACAAACGAATAATACTCACAGAAGCTGCAGGAGCTGCAAACGCCAAGCTTAGCAGCATCAGCAAAGGAATCATTTCTTCATTGCTTTCTACATAGGGCATGGAAAGCGCTCGGTCGTAACACTGGAAGCCCACCTTGGCTGGCCGGAAGAGGTCTGTCAGCTCCAGGAAGTAGAGAGTCACGATGGAGGAAGCGACAATGGGCAACTGGGGGCCGGAAGTAAACAAAGAGATTGAGCCCGGGGCAAAGAGTGGAAGAATCAAGTCTGTGCTAATGAGCCACAGTGATGGGGGTTCAACGGTCACCCTTAAACTAGGATGCCCAGTTTAAATCTTTGAGCCACCTGATCCTCCATCTTCCTCCAGTTCTTGAGGCAGGGGGTGATGGGCAAGGAAGCCATTTTTTTGTTGTCCTTACCTCAACAAAGTAGAAGCAGGGAAGAAGCGTCATGCTGTCTTTGGGAGCCTTTGCCTTGTCCTTAGCAGAGATCATGGTGTCAGAAGTGGGATTTATAGGAACGGGTGGGCAGGGCGTGGGAATGAAAGCCCCGGCTCAGCTTCTGTTGAGAGACAAGATATATAGCTATCATGAAAGAAGCTGCTACAATGGGAGGTGACAGAACCAAAAGAAGGATTCTACAAAGGCTGAAAGCAGCATTACTCCTGTCTTACAACGCCTTCCTACAGATCCTCAATTTCTATCCGCAAGAAGCTTAAAAAAAAAATTGTGTGTGCGTTCGTTGCAGTTTGCAAAGTGGGGAGAGGGAGGGAAAATGTCTTTGAAGTTTCCAGGGAGCAGGAGCAAGCATTTATGGGAAAGAATGTCCATAAAATCAAGATAATAATTTCAACTGAAGTCCTGCTGCCCTTTTTTTTATCGGCGCTGTGCAAAGGATGCACGTATACAGGTAGTCCAGGGGTAGGCAACCTTGGGTCTTTTATGACTCGTGGACTTCATCTCCCAGAATTCCTGAGCCAGCATGGCTGGCTCAGGAATTCTGGGAGTTGAAGTCCACGAGTCACAAAAGAGCCAAGGTTGCCTACCCCTGAGGTAGTCTAATTATGGTCATAATTAAGCCCCATGATTCTAAGTAATGGTTGCAAAGAGCAGCACAGTGGCCTAGCGGTGAAGACACTCACCTCCCACTTGGAAGGTTGAGAGTTCAATCCTAGATTGTGGCAGATGTTTCTCTCTCAGGGCACAAAGAAAAAATATCTGCTGTGAACTTCACATGGCATCAGGAAGGGCATCCGGCCAGTAAACAGCTCCATCCTGTCACTCCAACTCTATCCCGAATTAAGGGATTACAGGATTGGAAAAGGGAGGGTTTTTTTTGTAATGGTTGTAAAGCAGGTCACCCTCTGACCTGATCAGATTTTGCAAACTTTTTTCCAGTGGTCATTAAGCAAATGCCACAATCGTAAAGCAAACCCCACAGTCGTAAAGCAAAAACTGTGGTCGTTAAGCAAACCCATTATTCACCATGGGGCAGTTTTTGCAGGAATCTGGAAGTAAATGCCGGTTTCCAGCAAAAATGTAAGTCACACTCAGTGACTGTGGGGCGCAGTTGCTGACCACACAAAATGCAATCAACTGCAGGAGAAGAGGTCTGAACGTAGAACTTTGAACCTGGGTCTCAAGTCCTTTTTTGGGGCGTCTGTCGTAAGTCAAGGACTGCCCGTAAAAGAAGCAAGGAGGAAGAGATTCTAACATATGGCTGTCATCTTGACTTTAACAGAATAACAGAACAACACAGTTAGAAGGGTCTTGGAGGTCTTCTAGTCCAACCCCTGCTCAAGTAGGAAACTCTAAACCGATTTCAGACAAATGATTGTTCAATCTCTTCTTTTAAACCTGCAGTGCTGGAGCACCCACAACTTCTGGAGGCAAGTTGTTCCAGTGATTAATTGTTGTTCTCACTGTCAAGAAATTTCTCCTTAGTTCTTGGTAGGTTCTCTCTTTGTTTAGCTTCCATCCATTGCTTCTTGTCCTGCCTTCAAGTGCTTTGGAGAATAGGTTGAACCCCTCTTCTTTGTGGCAGCCCCTCAAATATTGGAACAGTGCTATCATGTGTCAACCCCTAGTCCTCTTCATTAACTAGACATACCCAATAGCTGCAACCGTTCTTCGTATGTTTTAATCTCCAGTCCCCCAATCACCTTTGTTGCACTTCTCTGCTCTTTTTTGATTCCCTCTGCTCTAGACATTCTTGTGGGCAGGCACTTTTGGAAATGAATTTTCCAAACACCAACCATGCTGGTTTCAAATCCTGGCACCCACGGACTGCATCTACAAGCCATGTGGTTTTCATGTGTTGTTTTGCCACTGGTCCATGTGGCAAATTGGGCAAGAAACATGAAGTCTACTCATTGGACAAAACCCAAATGTTGATCTGCAAACATACTCCATAATCCTCTCTTCTTACACATTGCTCCTGTTAAGATGTGGCATGAAGATGGAATATTAGTGGATAAGAAAGCGTGCATTATCCTACACGACTCCCTCCTTTCTGGGGTCCAGATTCCCAAGAGGCAAAAAGTCCAGCTGACCAACAAAGCTGGGTGCATGCCAAGTCTGATCACCATTGTCCCATTGGGATTATTTATTCCAATCTTCTAGAGATAGACCTCAAACATTCATTTAGTGACTATCCAAAGTTATAACGGCACTGGAAAAAGTGATTTATGACTAGTCCTTAACATATCGCAGTATCTCCATTATCTTGTGACCAAAATTTGTAACTTTCCCAGCTAGCTTCTGACAAAGTCAATGGGTGAAGCTGGATTCATTTAACAACTGCATGATTCACTTAACAACCGTGGCAGAAAAGGTCATAAAGTCAGGTGCAACTCACTTAACAACTGACTTGCTTAGCAACAGAAATTCTCAACCCGATTGTGGTCGTAATCGCGGACTACTTGTACATGTGGTGTCCCCTAGAACAGCTGGACTGCAGTTCCTATCACACACAGTGCCACTTGTCTGGAATGATGATGACAGTATGACAGAGGAACAGGTGGGCCGACAGCGCACTACTCTATTCAGCAGTAGCAATTCTAGCAATCCTCAAAGAGAGAATCTTTCTCATCCTCCAATCTGACATCTTGTTTAGCTGGAGGATCTTTTAGCATCTGGTGCAGCCAAACCATGTGTTTGAGCCCCAAACCACGATCCCGCCAAAGCTAGAGGGAGAAATCTTCATTTGAATTCGTCCTCTAAAAGTTTAAGTTTGGCTACAGCATAACAGGAATAATACGCTTTGTATACATAGAATAGGAATGATACGGATGTTGGTCATGTTATGTTTCTCTACTGAAAGAAACGTTGAATCACCAGTGAAAGACTGAAGATTCTGAAAGTGACCAGAAATACATATTCTTGTTTGAAAAACCAGTCTCTACCCATCCCGAATCCCAGTTGAAACTTGGTGAGACAAAAAAGCAGTCCGCCAATTCTTGGTTCCCTTTTTAATTATTTATGTTAACCCGGCAGAGCTTCAATTGCTGTTTAGTTATGGGGGTACACGAGACAGTAGACACGATTCAGCTTTCCATGCTCACCTCTGTAAAATTAGAATTAGAATTCTTTATTGGCCAAGTCTGATTGGACACACAAGGAATTTGTCTCCGGTGCATAATATTACCAATTGTCCTCTAGGATCAATGCAAAAAGGCAAGTGAACCAGCTACCCCGCTGAAAATGATCCATAACATAATTGCAGGAAGGGAATGATGTGGGGAGAATCTCTAATTTTAGTAATTTATCTCTAATATCAGCATCTTGTTTGCAGCAGGAGCTGTTGGACAAAGGCTGAGCCATGTGCAGTGTTCCCACCACCTGTACTCACTGATCTATTGCTTCTATACATGCAGGATCCATTTAACCATCACAGCTAATGGATCACACCAGACTGCTCTGCATTTGCTCTGTCCGGCGCATTTTTGAAAACTTTTAACAAAAATGCCAGCAAAAGCATGTCTGCCATGGACCAGAGATGTGAGTTCCAAGGCACAGAATTTCCAAATTCAGAGGGGGGGGTGGCAGCTGCTTAAAAAAAAAACCAGCAAGTGGTCCAGAAAGAGCAAATATGTTTTCCACATTGGTTAAATGTGCTTCCTTCTCTTCCTGCCTCCCTCCACCCCTCTCATCTCCCTCTGAGTGGCAACTGTTGAGAGGATCAATGAATGATTGATGGTCTTGACATTCCATCACGCTGAAATAAGAGGGTGGTTTTCAAATCATTCCCCTTTTGCCCCCCCAAAATTAACCCAAATGCTACATGGGGCCAGATAGAACAGGCATGAAAAAATGGAAGCGTGCTCCGATCTGGCATCTCCAGATGAATTCTCCGAAAGGCTCTGAGCCTCCAGGAACATGGCTGTTGCTATGGGTTAATGGAATGTCCCACAGCAGAGGCAATTGTGAAGTGGGAGTGCATGCCCCCCCCTTTTTTCCTGGGGAGCTCCTAGCCACCAGAAGCATCACCAAATCAAGTCCAGCCCTTTGTCTGGAAGTGAGGCGCAGAACCCCAGGAGCACAGGGGGGGGGGGGACGTGCAATGGCAGTTGGATAAAGGAAAAGAGAGAGAGGAGGGGAAGGAAGAATGAATGAATGAAACATACCTGCCCAACATTTGCGATGCACCCCGAACTGGGAAAGAGGAGGAGGGGGTGTTTCCCGGCTTGGACCCCTTCCCCAATCTTCTCACCTTTCCGGCTGCTGGAGGGGACAGAGTAGCATTTTGCCCATGCCCTTCTGTGCTTGAATTATTGGGGAGGGGGGCGTTCATTAAAAGAGGAGTGGGCTGCCTTTTCTTGCCTTAAAGGGTAATTCGCCCACCACTTCTCTCTTTGGAGAAGAGCAAATCAAGCAGTTTTAACAAAAACCAAGGGACAGAGGAACATGTGAAGGGGGGTGGGGGTGAGGTGGAGATCTCTGCTTGGACTCCAAGAATGGCCACCTGCACCCCACCCAGCCTTCACCAGAACGAGGTTGGAAATCTCTCTCTCTCACCCGCCCTTTCCTCTGCCAAGCAAAATGGCTTGTGTGTGTCTGTCTGTGTGCGTGTGTGTCTGTGTGTGTATGTGCATGTCGGTCTTTCTCCAGCTGCTGCAGGGTTCAGCACAAAGGGGCGAAGGGGAGGGGGCTCGGATTGATTTGTGGGGGGCGCAGAGGGGGAGGAGGTAGTAGTGATGGTGGAGAACTACGTCTCTGTTGTGTGTGCGTTTGTGTGCGTGTGTGTGTGTCTGTGCGCGCGCGTTGCATGCCTTTGCCCGTATGACTTTGCTTGGTTTCCATAGAGAAGGAGCCTTGCGTAGGATGGCGAGCTATCGTAGAAAAATAACACAAATGCAGGATTACGAGCCGGTGGAGAGGCGGAAGAAGAGAAGGGAAACCCCACAACTAAAATAGGGAATAATAGTAATAGTAACAGCCACAACGATGATCAATAATACAAATAATAATTTTCAGACAGGAATTGTTTCATCTAT